AAAATGTCAGGACCATTGGCATGACTGGGAAGTTGAGAGACATCTGGAAGAAGGCAATAGGAAAGAATTATGTTCTGTTGTCAAACAAAGCACATGGTATGATTAAATTCAGCATATGGGGATCCTAGCCTTTCTACACTTAAAAATGCAGAATTTAGGGTGGGAGCAGTGAGCAAATGCTGAATGACCATGGCTAGAGGAAGGCAATTCTTTTAATAAAAGCTTCTTCCACAAAGGCTGGATTCCCAAATTTCAAAAGGCCATGTGGGCTGGAAATTCTGAAGTGCAGTCTGTTTCTCTCTAGAAGAGAGGTGTTGAACTGGTGGCTGTGGGCCGGATGCATCATGCGCAGGCCACACCCACCCCAGCTCCGCAAAGGCAAAAAAGTCACAATATATCGCGATACGTCACGTGACACAATTGAGTTTGATACCCTTGCTCTAGAAGTTACCAGATTGTGACAAAGATCCCTTACCAGAAGGAGGAAGGTTAATTTGTTGTGGTTTGAAGCTATGATGTAAGTGATCTTTATACTAGAAGGTTAATAATTAGATATGGTTTCAGATTATTTAAAAGGAATGTAGGTTCTGTGATCATTTATTTCATCTGTAAATGCCTGTCCCAAGCTACCGATTTATGAATTAGCAGTGTGCAGTGTGCTGTATTTTGTATCTGAGAACAAATGAGAGGATTAGAGATAACAAAATGCCAGTCCAATGTCTTCAAGGATCTAATAGAAAACAAAGTCTCTTTGAGAGCTACTCCAAGTGAAGGGAAGGATCAAAATGTGTCATATATCTGTCTTGCCATAAATGAAGGATAAAGCTTCATAGATATATACCTGACTTCCTATTTTAAATAAATGTTATCAGATGCTCTGGAGAGAACATCAAACATTCCGTCTTATCCGGGATGATAATGAAGATGCTTATAGGGAAGAGGTAAAGGCTCTGGTGCAATAAAAGTAACCTGGTTCTAAATGTTGATAAAACAAAGATTGTAGATTTTAGAAAGAGCTCGCATAGTCATACTCCACTCAGTATCAAGGAAGCAGCTGTAGAGGTGGTCAACAGTATTAAGTATCTAGGGGTGCAGATAACTAACAATCTGAATTGGTCTCTCCACACGTCATCCTTAGTGAAGCATGCAAACTAGCATCTGCATTTCCTGTGTCGGATGAGGAGGGCACATCTTACTCATTCTATCCTAGCCACTTTTTACAGAGGCATGATTGAAAGCATTTTAACAAACTGCATCACTGTCTGGTTTGGTGGCAGCAGTGCCTCAGATAGAAAGTCCATACAGAGAATGGTATGGACAGCCGAGAAGATCATAAGAAGCTTGTTCCTTGGTATCCAGGATGCTGCTACTTAGAGCTCAAAGCATTGTTAGAAACCCCACACACCTACTTTACGGTCTGTTTCTGTTCTCCCCTCTGGTATAGCAGAACTAGCCAACAACTTTGTTACCTATGCCATCCGTCTGGTAAATTCACAAGATTTGTTTTTCTCGCCAAGCACATGTATACATAACCCGAACTAGACTGTTGTTTCTATGGGTCATATATGTGGGTATATGCATAATTCTGTATTTATTTTTGTCATATTTATGTAGTGTATATGGGAGGTGGTGATCCTTGAGAGATGTATGCCAGAGGTCCTCAGGAACTGGTTCCCTGGAGAAACATTTTTCCACAGACTGGAGGGGGCGTGGTTTTGTGTGCTGCCTGCATCCCAAGCATGGGCTCTATTTGTGCGGACCAGTTGCTGGCATGCCATGGCCTAGTACCAGTCCATGGACCGAGGGTTGGAGACCCCTGCTGTATGCAATGAAATTTCATTTTAACATACACTGATTAGTGTACATTCAAAGTGACAATAAAGTTAAAGTTAAAATAACAGGAGCTTCTATCATGATACACACAAAATCAATTTGTTTTCATCCAAAATTACTCAACTTCCAATAAATATAGAAATGTTAGAAATGTTAATGGCTTTTCAGGATGTTATTTTTGATTCTACACTGAACACCCTGTTAAAACTATTTATGTGCTACTGTTATTTCATTTTGTTGCCTTTTTCAACCTTTATGCTATCCAATTATTTTCCAGATTGTCCAAAGTACCTTTGTTTCCTGAGGTACGATATGCTAGACCCTTTTTAACATCCTGATACCTCAATACTCTTGAACAATAGCTATTGAATTACAGAGTTGGAAGTGGCATTTCTTCCCATTGAAAATCCATTAAGGAAGGAAAAGATGAAAATGCTAAACAATATATTTTGATGGCTGGCACCACGAGGACCCTTTGCTTGGAGAAACTCTGTATTTTTAAGAATTTTAAAGCAAGGGAATATTAAGCATCTGAAAAATTACATTAAGGAACACATTCTGACTGAATGTTTATTATTTGATAATACCTTTCCTACATCTACATATTAAAGTTATGTTCATCTTTCCACGTTTGGTGCAAACCTAGGTAGGCAGGAAAAGATTTTTTTTAAAAAAACACCATGTGCTGATGATCAATACAAGTGAATTTTTCAGGAAATTTGTAGATGGAACACAATTTAAAATCATAATAGCCAGTATGCTATTTATTGAATGTCTATTATTCTCTGCACTTTGGAATATTGGGGGCATATACTTATAGTAGAAAAAGTAAGAACTATTTTGTTTTTTTAAAAAAGTTGATGAAGGTAGCACATCAGTAGTATGATAAATAATGGATGAATGAGAAGTTATACGTTCCCATTAACTAGAATCTAAGTAACAGCATTTTAAACTATCAACTGGAAAACTTATCTTTGTCCCTGTATTATTCAGTAGCATTTAATTCAGATCAGATTGCTTCTATTAGTGGAGCTTTTTATTATTTAGTTGCAAGAATACAAAAATAATTTTGATCACTTTTTGCAAAGGGCCATACAGCTCTGGTTAAAATGTACAAGAGTTGATCAGAGGTAAGGCAGAACAGAATTTCTATATTATTGTTTGGCAGGATTTTACTTTGTTGAAAAAGCACAATTCCTGAAACTTTTGTGTAACTTTTGAGGTTTGATCTTTCTTGCACGTAGTCATTCTGATGCTGAACATACCATTTAAATTATACATGTGGCATTATCATTTTTAGTTATCTTATTGATCATACATGGACAACTGATATTACAGTAGTGTACAGTAATGTGTGATTTTTTAAATTTATCCTCCCAAAGTCTGTGTATGGCTATAATATATAAAACATTATTGGCAACAACAGGTGTATATATGAGTTCTAACAATATTACTCTAGAGCAGTATTTCTCAACCTTAACAATTTTAAGGCATGTGGACTTCAACTCCCAGAATTCCACAGCCAGCATTGCTGGTTGTGGAATTCTGGGAGTTGAAGTCCACATGCCTTAAAATTGTCAAGGTTGAGAAACACTGCTCTAGAGTGCAAGCAGCCTTCTTTAAAGTGAGGGAACACATTTTTCAAAGGGTTGTACTTTAACTTATCAAGATTTAAAGAAGAACTGTTTTCACCTTACAGCTGGGTTGTTAATTTTTTTTAAGCCCCAGGGCACTCTACAGGCTCTGCTGGAGATCCTTACACTTGTCTCTGTATACAAATAGCCCTTGACTTGTCTCGTAAACAAACTCATAACCATTTGTTTACAACAAGTTAATGACTAGACAAATTAATGACCCGAAATTACACCGGCACTGAAAAAAGTGACTTATGACTTTGTCCTCACACTTAAACCATTATAGCATCCTCATGATAACATGATCATAATTTAGGCATATGGCAACCGGCATGTATTTATGGTTGCGGTATTCCAGGTCATGTGATCAGCATTTGCAACTTTCCTAGTCAGCTTCTGACCAGCAAACTCAATGGGGGGAAAACTGGATTGCCCCATAATGACTGCTTCATTAACTTACCAACTGCAGAGATTTGCTTATGGCAGAAAAGGTCATAAAATCAGGCAAGACTCATTTAACAATAGTCTTGCTTAACCCCAGAAATTCTGGTCCCAGTTGTGGTTGTAAGTCAAGGACTACTTGTATATGATTGCTGTCAATACTAGTCTACCGGCAGTAGTTACCACTGCAAAAGCATCATACTGAAGATGGCCCTGGAATAACACAAGCTTTACTACTTGTGAACAGAAATTAAAATGGGAAATCCATTTGAGAGACTGGGGCAAGCCCTACTTTTAAAGCCTAAATCTTCATTTGAAACTTGTGGGTGTACTTTGATCGAACTTTTCATTCTGTTATGACAAGCATAAAAGTCTATTAGGGGCGTGAGCACATCGGTTGCTTCTACAGGTCTCGGCGCCCGTCTGTGAAGTTAATTAAAGTTCGAGAACAGATATTATCAGGTCCGCGTTCTGCGACCACCGTTGAGTTCACTCGTTCAAGCCGGATCAGAGCCAGCAATACAGACTTGAACTTTCAACGAACAAGAAGGCAGCCCAAGACTGGCTTGTGAGAGGGGCATGATGCAAGGCGCCCACTTTTCCCCCTCCCGTTTATTCACTCGGAACCGGACTCGTTTCACGGTAGGTGCTTTCCTTCCTTAATCGGTCCACATCCCAATTCTGTCAATCATATATTACCGTTCGTCGTACTGTAATTGGACTCTGCGCCCGGTACTGATCCGTAGCAACGCCCTTTTTTACACGGGGTTTCCGAGTCTTGATTATCTAGAGTTTCAACCGTGCAGCGCACCTATCCTTGGCGGGCTATCTAGCCACGCCTCCGCGGCATCTTTCTCCTAATAATGAAGATAGCGTCGTCTCGTTGGTCTTCCCCTGAATCTATTTCTTCTATTCCTGCCTTAATAGGCCTTTTGCCGGCAATTATTGGTTATTGCAGGCATCAATCTTGCTCCTCGTTCCCGGGCTTCCCTTAACGCTATTGGACTATTTCCTTGCCTTTCTGTAAGCTGTCCGTCCCCTTTTTTCTTATGGCCTATCGATCTCCGAGATGGGAACTTGGCCGACAGCTGATTGGACGTGGCCTTTCAATAGGGTTAGGCTGCGCAACGGGTATATTTACCCGGCGGCTGAGCACGCTGTTGCGTGAGGTGCTTCCCGTCTCTCGTCGTGCGTGTCTGCCTCGTTCGGAGTGAAACCTCCTCTAGTCCAGCTCCGCCTCGCCCTCAGGTTGGTTTGGCAGGGTAGGCCGGGTCACGTCCTTCATGGGACTGCAAACGGCTCCGTCGTCACCATCACCATAGATGCGCAGAGGGCCCGAGCGGCGGTGGCTGCGGTCCTCCTCCCCTCCTTAATCCCGGTTCGGGCTCTCCCGGGTTCTACGGCCTTTTTTTTTTTTTTTGCTTCCAGAGCGGGGCGGAGAAGGGAGATGCCGCAGACTACTGCTTGGAGGCATCAATCCTGTTCAACGGCCCTGCAAGGAGGCTTACGGCCAAAGGGTTTCGAAGTGGCGGAATGAGGACATCCGTGGGGTGCGAGGGCGGGAGGGCCGACAACGAAGGAGCGAATGAACCTTTCTCTCTCCCTCTGCTCCTTTTGTAGTGCGGGAATACATGCCTGCGGTAGCCAATTGGCGGCTTTAGCAGGCCCGGCCGGCCAAGGGATGTGAAGGACTGGGAGGGTCGGCCTCACGCACGCGCGTGGCCAGGCGGATGGTGCTTTCATACTGACGGGGGCGACTTTTAAGCCCGCCCCGGAGACGGTAGTTATCGGTGCCAAATCTCGCTTCTCCCTACCCCCTTCTTGTGCCCTGAGGGGGAAAAAAAAGTGGCCCCGCGCCCTGAATAGCTCAGCGAGAAGGTACCTTAGCGGGTCTGTAAAGCTCCGCGGGCCTGCCGAGGGAGGAAACGGGACGCTAAAGCCGCCGCGGCTTTCCTCTTCCCGTTAAAAAGGACAAAAATCCGCGACACTAGCCGTCTTAGGCGGTGTAGGAGTGGGAGAATAATAAAATGAAAGAAGCTTGAGAGGCCGGCCTTTTTTTTTTTTAACCGTAGCAGAAATAACTGCACGTAGAGGACAATGGTGTCGTTCAATAGCGAAGGAAAAAAAAAAGCCATGGGTAAAAAGCGGGCAGCTCTTATAAAGTGAACCAGGGTTGCGGCTTTATTGTGCTACCCTGGCACACAGCTACGAGCTTTGTCTGTCGCCTCATGGAATGACAATTTCATTCCACCAGCATCAGATCTAGGCTGGGATATAAAAAAAAAAATCCATGCAATTTTGTTGAAGTGCTAATAATAACTACCCCCCCTTCGTCAGGCCTGTTTGGGTGCAGATAACTATGCAGAAAATATGTGCATTTAAATCGTATGCATGAATTTTCAAATAGTTTTGAGCCCTTCATGTTTCACCTGTCACTCAGTTGTACTCTTGCCCCAGTAGTCTTAATAGAAATCGTTTATATGTATGTTCACTTGGCAACAGAAATCTGTGGTGAACATTGTAATTAATATGTAAACTGGGTCAAGTGGGAGCTTTATAATCTGATGCTGAGTATTGTAGAGTAGCCATGTTTCCAGTCAGTGCTATTTTTGTCTTATCGGCAGCATTACCTTTAGGAAGTGTAGATGGTTCTAGGTTTTATGTATATGACTCCTTTATAACTTGCTATTTGGAAGCCAAAAGAGTTGTGGTTTATACACGGAATGTAGTTCTATAAAACTCACATACCGCAGTTTCTTTTGGGAATGTCAGTTATGTCCCCTTAAGTTAAAGACTACAATGAAATATCCTAATGGTTATTTTGATCTTTGTGCTGGTGTTACATACTAGTGACACAAGAGATTCTTGGAGCCTGACATAGCAGTACTTATACATCCTATTCCAAACAATTTTGTCTGAATAGAATTTTATTTTGGGTGCGTATGGAAAATTGATTCTTTCCCCCCTATTGTGCTTTTTAATATTTGTCTTATAAGGGATGCTGTAGATGTGTGTCACAGAACATTTTTCACAGAAAAAAAGTTTTCCTATGAAGCTTAAAAAGACTTTTACTATGAGAAGGTTAAATTTTATATGCAACAGAAAAAAAATCTAGCTTGACTTCTTGCTGGGTTTGGCAAAATGTTTTTTGGGAAACTTAGCTTGGTAACATGCATTCTGCAGCAAAAAAAAATCATTTTCCCTTCCTAATTTAAAATCAAAGAATAATTTATATGAAGGGAACAGAAGAAAAGTTTTCATGCATCTGTTTGTGATGTGGTACTTTATAAGTACTTCATTTAGCTTTTCTTTGAGAATAGGTTTGAAAGGAGCAGTGGTGCTCTAAAATTACTCTTTACTAATTTGCCACAGAAAAATACTAAAAACTTCCAACTGATTGAGGAATTGGTGTAAATAACCACCTATTTTCCTTCATTTTTTAAAATTGGGACATATGTGATAGCTTCTTTATGAATACAAAACTGACAGTACCAAATGATACTGAATTTATATCCCTCTCCTTGCTGGCAAAGAATTTTATTGTGAATTTCTAAATGTTGGGAGTGTATTGCTAAATCATTCTTTTATTTGTGTTAGTGTTGTATATATAACCAAGGGAAAGCCATGGGTAGGACATTTCTATGGAGACCAGTGTGTAGTGGGAGAAGAGTTCATAGTGGGGGAACTGCCATTTTGTCAACCATGTTGAGTTTATTCTAGTGAGGATGAAAAGGAAAATTTTTCCTTTCCTGACATGTTTATTCCTTTCATAGCAAGTAGAAGGAGCAGCTGAATGTAGTTTCTCCTATTCTGGGATAAGATTTGCAAAACTTTTACTATTAGAACACTGGCTGCAGAGATGGAGATTTCTGCTTCAAAACTAAGGCTTTCCATACCAGGTTTCCCTCACAGGTTGTTTAATCCTATAGCTGTTATTAACTGTTAAGATGTCAGAGTAAAAATTAGCTTAATAATGCATTAAAAAAATCCCCATCTGCAAAAAGGAGGATCTTTCACAGTGATGGGGAACATATGAGCCGAGGTGGCGCAGCAGTTAGAGTGCAGTACTGCAGGCCACTTTAGCTGACTGTGTTCAGCAGGTCAGCGGTTCAAATCTCACCTGCTCAAGGTTGACTCAGCCTTCCATCCTTCCGGGTTAGGTAAAATGAGGACCCAGATTGTTGGGGGCAATGTAAATATATATATACATTGCTTACTGGTGTACACCGCTTAGAGAGTGCTTGCACTTAAAGCGGTATATAAGTCTCATAAATAAATAAATAAATAAATAAATAAATAAATGATAACTTCTAGCACCCTATGCTCAGTGCAGCCATGTCAAATTTGCGACGTCATATGATGTCATGTGACATATCGCGACTTTTTCCCCATTACTGGCAATGGAGTGGGTGTGGTTTCAGTATGATGCATCTGGCCTGCGGGCTGGCAGTTTGACATGCCTGGCTCAGTGGGAAAGGCTACTAGGTGTTTGATAATCTGAAGTCCAAAGTTCCCCAATTCATAGTTAAATATAAGGTGAATATTAAGCAGTGAATTCTAATTCTACTGGCTTTCAAAAGCCAATAGGAATTGTCCAGGCTGTCTCTGCCCTGCTGAGCCCGCCAAAAGTCCCATTCTGCAAACGCTGCACCAGTTGAGTAGTCCTCGATTTACAACCGGTTGAGTAGTCCTCAACTTACGATCGGTTGGGGGTTGCGGCATTAAAAAGGTTGAGAACCACTGTACTAGAGAATATAAATGTGATTGCCATCCATGTAAAAGTACTGTTCTGATTATTTGAAAAGGCTAAAATTAATTGGTATTAGCTAAAATGAAAAAGGGTGATTAATCTTGGTATCAGATGTTAACATTAGTTGAATATAAATAACTACCGTTAATGGTAAATATAAAAAAAATCATAATAATGAACACATTTTTTGAAAATGCTAGTAATAGGTATAAGTTGCTAGACCTTGAATTAGCTCACCCATTTGCTATCTAATTCATAGAAATTGACATGAATTCTATGTAGTGCCCTATAGAGTTTGGTGTTCTCTCTTATTCAAAAACTACATAAAGCAGCTGGGTGAAATCCTCCATTGCCTTGGGTGAGGTATCATATTGATGATATCGAATTATATCTTTCTTCTGCTTTGGAATTAAATGATGCTATTGATGTTGTGTCCCAATGCCTGGAGGTTATAAGGAACTGGATGGGGAACATCAGGCTTCAGCTGAGCCTTGGAAAGATTGAATGGCTCCAAGGTTTGGGGTCCCTCCAATTCAGGAACTTTGCCATCTTTGTTATAGGATAGATTTGCACTGCCCCAAACAGACTTTATACAGTCTGGGGGTCCTCCTAGAGTTGCAACAGTTACTCAAACATCAGATGACAGCCATGGCTAGGAGGGCCTTTGCACAGCTTCATGTTGTATACTGGTTCCTCCCATTCCTGGATTGGGAGGCTCTTCTCATGATCACTCATGTTCTGATCAACTCTAGGATGGATTACTGTAATACACTCCACGTGAACAGTATCATGAAGCATCCATCTGGTGCAAAATGTGATGGTGTAGGCAATTATGTATTCCATGGCAAAACCAAGGTGCTGATTTGGCTTTATGACATGAACCATACTGTTTAAAGGACCACCTTTATGACAAGCCCTTTATGACATGAACCATACTGTTTAAAGGACCATCTCTCCCTGATTATCTCTGGCCGTCCCATCAACTCTAGCAGAAAAGGTCTTCTGTATTTTTCTCTAACACTTTTGGCAAATGTACCATACAGCAACCATCACATTCCTCCTTGCTGGATGGCCAAAATCTCTAAGCAGCTTATGAAAGCTATTTCACAGTTTTAAAAATGTGACAACGGGGGAAAAAAACACAGATTGCATGCCAGATTGAAATAAGTTCTACTAATCCACTGGCTTGAAGAATAATATTTCAAATAAACTTCTGTTGGGTATAATTCTTTTACCTGTAATATTTTACGGTAAACTAAATCTATTTAGTTATTCCCATGCATTTGGTGGTAGGAGTACTTGCAGATTATGTGCATGAAGCTGAATTCCCTGGAGTCTTCTAGAACATTTGACTCTAGATGTAAAAGACAGATCCATTTTTTCTAGTTCCTAGATAGTTGGTGCCTGAGTATGATCTTACTTTTATAACTTTCCAGTTACACATATTGGAATTTCTGACTATAGTAATCCTCAATTCTCCATCATCATGCTGAGAAAA